GTTTTGTTTTATGTAGCCAAGAAATCTGTTCGTTAGCTCACAACAAACGCCCACAAAATTGAAGCTCAACATAATTCATAAATATAACTGTGAATCTCCACCACCCATGGTTGCCGGACATCAACCTTTTTAAGATACCAGCTTCTTACAAAGGTTCGATGGATTCAAATATAAGCACACAGATGTCCAGAAGCAGTTTGATCCATTCTATACCTTCTGGAGCTATATTATTCATCTCCTGGAACAATTTTATAGCCTTGCTTTAGAGTTACTTCTCAACCAAAGTTTCTATCTTAAATGAGAATGCATCTTGTTGGACATCCATCAGCACCAACCATCTTTAGAGGGAGGCAATGGAGACTATATCTTCCTGGTTGGATGTCATCCAGATTTAGGCCCTCAAGTGGAATGATTTCCTAAACCATTTTAGGAGTGTTAGCATTGCATTTATCTTGACATATTTCTCTCAAACCAGCATAAAGAATGCCCCAAATAGATATGTATGACATAAAAAGTGAGACACATTTTTGTTTTCTTACCCTATTCCGCAGAAATGCATAATGTACTGGGGCGGCATCAACATAAGCAGCAACAGATAGGTAATCAAGCCCTATAATCAACGAGGACAAGTATTGACAGTTTGACACAGACTTTAGAATTGCAAAAGAATAGAACAGAGAAAAGAGACTGCATAAAGTTTTTGATTGTTTTGAGAGTGCTAGGCACGATTTCATCAAATTTGTTCAACTTAATTTCATTAAAAACAAGAGACTTAGCTGATGAGTATAAATGGAATTGTGCTGATGATATATGAAGTTAAAAACGGTTTCCTCTATATAAGCCCTTTAGATATGTAGTCAAAATGTCCATCATACCAACAAGTTTGATGTTTGTGTTGTCTACCAACCACTTTGCTCCATCCTCCATGAACGCAGTAAAGTCTGAATGAAACTCCGTTTTGTGCATCAACTGCCTATACAAGAAACTAAGAACAAGTTAGCATGTAATTTACTGAATCAGCTCAACCTCTTAAGACAAATGGTTCAATTTCAAAGTAATCATGTGCAAGTTCAAAAGCCACAAATATAAACATTGATATAAAATCCTACCTGTCAGTATTAAGTGTTTTGAAAAGCACGCGACGTACTCCTTTAGGGATATTCAGAGATTTCATAACTTCAGCTATTGGAATTTGGTAGATTTCATTAGTCATTACAATCATTGGAGGGGAACAAAGCAGAATATTACTAAATTCTATGTTTATGTTCAAAACATTCAGTAGCAGGAAAGGTATTTGATCCGGCAATTAAACTTAAACTAATAGCAATGGTAACACAATTTGTAGACAAGATTGTAATTCTCATTCTCTGCCTCTTGGGAGATTGGAAGAGATTCTAAATTGTTCCAAAATTTTGCATAATTTTCCAAAATGAAAAAGCACATAAGTATTTCCAATAGAACACATACCAGTAATGTTCTTGTCCTTTGGAACTTCAACTACCAAAGCAGGACCTATTCCCAAATCACATGGATCAACAAAATATAATAGCAATAAAAGAATTTAGGAAAAAGCGAATAAAAAGAGCAATTAAAGATAAATGCTTCAAAAAAGCATACCAGTTTATGATGAGATGAAATATATTATTGATTATATTACCGTTAAGCACTTTTAGGCTAAGGGTAGTGACATCAAATCCTTGATCATAGTACTTCTGGAAAAAGTGGCTGGGAGCATCAACATGGGTGCCGGTGTGGGTTCCCAGCTTGAACTCTGATTCATTGGCAATAGAACCATTCTTGATGCTGTGGACAAGCCGGATAAAATGGCCGAGGCCATTCTTGGATCCGTAGATTGGCAGTTCAGAGGTGATGCTGTGAGTGATATCAAAGATTCTGTGATTTCTATGATCAGCGAGGGAAGAATGAACCACCAAAAGAGAGAGTAGCAGCAGGGCCAAAGATTTGTTCTTGGCCATTATGAGTTTCAGGTAGATGAGTTTTCAGGTATGAAGAATATTATACAAGACAGGATATGAAAAGCACTTTGATTGTAGCCCATTTGGACCAATTGTAAAGAAACAGAATTCGGGATAAAGTTGAAATCATCGTGTCAAAGAGAGTGTCACTGGCACTCTCCTTATATTCTTCCTACTTCCTTTCTCTGTTCTTGGTTCTTTAATTTAAAATTTGTTGGATAATTATAGTTTATTTTTAATATTTTTTATAATTTTTTATTTTTAATTTTATCATTATATCTTAATTTTTATTATTTATTATATTATATAAAAATATTTCTTTATTTTTATTTTTTTAAATAATATAAATAAAAATATAAATTTTAAAAAATTTAATCTAACAATAAAATAAAATAAAATCTATGGCTCTAGAAGAAAGAAAGTAGTGTTTTGGTAATCAATTAAATATGAATTTATAGATCAATACGTACAAAAAGGCCACGTGCACACAGTAAATTCAACTTTGGCTGGTGCTAGTGGCTCTGACTTTTGACCATGTGCTTCAGCTTCGTAATTCACAAGTAATCACTGTCATGGATATGAATTAAAGCGAAGGCTGATTTCCTACGCCATTTCAATGGTTAATTATAGAAAGGAGGTTTGGCAGCTCTTTTTTTTTTAAACAGGATTATAAGTTGAGGTAAAAGGATTTGAACTTAACTTTCAAGTTTAGGGATTTATTTTATAAGTCGATTTATAACTATTGTGTCGGGAGGCAGGTGCGGCTTGGTAGCTGTTTGGGCAGCTTCGTAGTCCAACACTGTTGAAGTCCTTAACTGCTTCTACACCTGAAAATCCCAAGGATGTTTCATCGGGGAAAACACTCCGACGGTCAAGTCAGCAATACTCAATGCTCTAGAGAGAAATGCTCTAAAAAAGTAATTGCGGAGGAAAAAGCGTAAAGAGTAATTACCTTCATCGGAGGTAGTTGGGGGGTATTTATAGCCCCAAGTGCTGACATGCATCTGTACATGTAAGCATCTCATTGGCCCACGTGGCGCTATTCACGTGGGTATGTTTGTACTGGTGCTCTCTCACTTTGGGCTAACGAATGTCAGCTTAGGCCCATTATGTATGGCCTAAATTGGGTGTTGAGCCTATTCCAACATTACTCCTCCCACGGTGTTCGATTGACGAACTGGATTGGGTGTGCATATGGCCCAACGTTTGAGTTGGTGATTAGGACGGACAGCGTTAGCAGCTCGCGACTCACCTCGTTGATGGTCGATTTGAAGGATGGCACCGAGTAAGACGAGCTCGAGAGCCTAAAAGTATACAGGCGAGCTGGTATTCGCAATCCAACTAGCATGGGCTCGGCATATAAGCGGGCTGAAGTGGCTCACAAAAGGTGAGCTCGCCCGGCGAACGACCATGAGCTTAAATTTAAAGTGTTACTCGTTATTCCAACGAGCTCGGCCATGTTGACATAAGCGCGAGTGAATGTGTAGCGACCTGAAATAGTGTCGAAGGCTTTGAAGCGACTAGGTAATGTTCACTTGAACAGAGTGACGAGCTGAGATGAAGCGACCTCAAAATCTGTGATTTCTACCGAGCTACCGCTCTTGTGACGACCTGATAAAGGTGGTCACAATGATGAGCGTATGTGGATGAGATAGGGAACAGATCAACCTATTACGATATGAACCATGGGGATTTTTCGAATCCATCAAATCTCATATGCTGCCCTTGTGACGACCTGACATATGTGGTCACAATGACAAGCTGATGTGAACGGGACAGGGAACCTATCCGCCTGTTACGATCTGAATCTTGGGGATTTTTCGAAAAATCACTCAAATCTCTGAGGAGATACGATTGATCTCCCCGTATCTCTCTGCCTTCCCCGCCATAAATGCTGGCTCAGCATTTGAGGGACGTGACAGCTAAAACCGGCGCACGTTATACGAAATGGGGTTACACGCATGCCACGTGTGGGATGCTAACTTGCGCGTCAGAGACATGCGTACGACAATTAACACTGCAATTTCAGTTTTATTCTTTGCATAACCATTCCTCTTTCCATTTTCATTTCATTGTTTGCTTGAAACCTGCTGAGATTCTCTGTAGCGAAACACTCCGGCTTGAAGAACAGAGCACCAGACCACACACACTATAGCTTCACATCACTTTCAGGTAAAATGGATTCCTTTAGAGGGCTTATAGAGCTACGAGGTAACCAGGGCAGAGAGGGAGAAGAGGAGGGGGTTATATCTGTAGAGCCTGTTGCGATGATAGTGCCGCCGGTGCTGCAAGACCTGCTGGAAACGTTAACGCCTGAGAACAGCGCCAGTTCAAGCGCTAGGGACGACGGTGGCGACCACCACGCCTCACCGTCTAGCAGCTCGTCATCTAAAGAGACACCCAGCCGCGAGGGAGAGACGGGGAATGTGGTTGGCTGTGAACGAAATTTACCCGTGGTTGAAGAATGGGAAAATAGGGTAATAACGGGCAGATTGAGCAACCTATGTAAGGCGCCCAAGGAGTTGCCATCTGGATTTAGGTTCAGGGCGGCGCTTCACCACGAAGTGGCAGATAGTGCGCCCTCGATAAGTGGATATAGAAAACTGGAGGAGATGGTGAGGTCATACCACATCACCAGGACAATATTGCTCCGAACTGGCGCACCGAATGAGAGGGCTTGCACGGTGTCACAAATGGGCTAGATACCAGTGTACGTGGATCATTTTAAGGCCAGCTTGCGATTTCCCCTGCCCGGGCTAATATTCGACCTACTAGCAGACTACGAGCTGGCTCTGACGCAGCTGATGCCCAACAGCATAAGGTTCATCATAGGCTTTATGCTGTTGTGTGAAAGGTTGGAGGTGCCGGCCAAGGCGATAGTGTTCAGGTCGCTGTTTCAATGCCGGCTGTGTCCCAACTCCCGAGGTGCCAAGTGGTATTACCTCTCCAGGAGAGAGAAGAGCCAGCTGTTCAAGAACGTGAGGAACAAAGTAGCGAGGTGGAAGAGGCAGTTCATTTTTGTTCGCAACATGCGTATAGAAAGAATAAGCAACAACCTCGCTGCTCGGCTATTTGAATGGCGTGTGCCGAATGCACATGTCAATTACCCTCAGCTGCTGCCTCAGGACACGGATATAAAGAATCAGCTGCTAGAATACACGCGGAGGGAAAATTTGATAGATATAGAGGCCCTGGTTACCTCGGAGCAGCTCGCGGTGTTCGGGTTTATCGACGTGGCAAACCTGTTCACAGAAGGTATACTTTTATCATATATCCTGAATTCTAGCTGAGCTGAGTCTTATATATTTATTTGTGCAGGTGAAATGAGCAACATACTGGAACGCCAGCGCCAGCAAGCCCAGGGCTCCCGAGGTCATGCAGCAGGCAGCAGGTCGCAAAGACAAACACAATTCGATGAGCGACCGCCTCCAGCGCCACAATCTCGCAACTTGTCACATCGTAGTTCCAGCTCGGCGTCTAGGCCTCGCGCCGAGCAGAGGGTTGAAGTTGTGGCCCCTAGTGCACGTAGGCGTGCACGTGAGGAGACTGACAGCGAAGATGAGGTCCCCCTCACGAGGCGCAGAACAAGCGTGGGGGCTTGGCCCGCGCAGGTGGCTCAAACTGCTGCCGCACGCTCATCAGACGCGCCATCAGCCACGACGCAGGCAGTAGGGGAGCCCGCATCTGCGTCGGCCTCAGTTTCGGCGCCCCAGTTCGCGTTTCCGGACGGCTTCAGCTATGTGAAGCCTGACTGCCAGCCCGCCATGGTGCAAGGCATGCAAAGTTCTTTGCCTCCCGTAGATCGTCAGCGGGCAAGGACTTTTGTGCAGCAGCATGGTGGGCAGGTTGCCATGGTCAAGCTGATGGACGTAAGTATTTACTCACACTTGCGTAATTGTTTTACTATTCCATTCTAGAGACTTACAGTTGTTGCTGTTTGGCAGGCATTCAGCTACGCGGTGGCGCTATTCGAGAGCGAGCAGGCGGCTCGCTCTCAGAATAATGAGCTCAGCGCCAATTGTAAACAGTTGGCAGTGGAAAAGGCCAGCCTTGTGGATGATGTCAATCGTCTGCAAGGCTCGGAGATGGCCAATCGAGCTATTGCAGCGAAGAGCCGAGCCGACGAGCTCGTGAATAGAAATAATGAGCTCAGGGAAGAGCTGGAGCGAGCCCGCACCGAAAAAGAAAGCGAGATCCAAGCGACGAAGGATGAGGCCGCCTGTGTTGAAGAACGGGCCAAGAAGGCCGAGGCCGAGAGGGACCATGCTCTAAACGAGCTGAGCTCCCTAAGGCGACAAGTCACCCAAGCCGCCTAGAACCTCTTAATCAAGCTGAGGAGGCCATGAACGAACTGAAGACATCTCACAGGCGCTCTATAAGCATGGCCCGAGCTCAAGGGGCAGAGTGGCTGGTGGCCTCAGCCGTGTTCCAAGACGCTGTGGCCGTGGTGTCTACAAACATGACCACGGAGATCTACAATGAGATCCGTGGGAAGGTGCTGCACCATCGCCCGGACTTCCCCATCCACGAGCTGGCGTTTTTTGACGGGGAGGACATCGATGAGCAGGGTAAGAGCCTTGCTCCCCTTGTTGACACGACGGTGCGGTTGAGATGTGATCTCAACGAGGAGGGTGTACCTGTCTGGCCGCCCTCAGTTCTAGAGGAGGGGGAGGATCCAGCGAGGCTGCCCTCCTTTGATGCATGGGTAGAAGGGGCTCCTGTGGCTGAATAGGAGCCATCAAGCACGCCACCAAACTCTCAGCCTACCGTGGTCTCGGCGAGGTCGCCCGCCAATGCACCAGCTCCCGAGCCCGCAGCTCGCACACCTCCAGCTTGCTCCTTTCCTCTCGCCGCTGACGCATCCATGCCCGTCGATTTGATGGATGATTAGGCTTAGGATTTTTCCTTTTTTGAGCTTTTGTATTTTTTGTTTCTTTTCCTGCAATTGTATGATAATCTCCTGTACTAAAACTTGCAATTTTTTGAAAAGAAATAGAAAGTTGGAGATTATATCAAATTGTTCTTTGTTACTGTATTGTATGTATGGTTTACATTTCCTCGAACAAATCCCTCACTAACATATACATTAACTGTAAAATCTTCTAAGATTATGTACATTCCAAATATATGGTAACTGGCATCCTTGTATTTCTGCCAACACGTAAGATCTAGGTCGTTTAATTTGAACAACCATATAGGGACCTTCCCAATTGGGAGCGAGCTTGCCCATGTGTGAATAAGTATTGGTTAATCCAGCTTTGCGTAAAACTAGATCGCCGACCTGAAACTGACGAGCTCAAACTCTTTTATTATAGAATTTTGCTACACGGCTTTGATGCGCCATGTTTCTTATTCGAGCCATTTTTCTGACCTTTTCCACAAGGTGTAGGTTTTCCCTTAAAAGTTGCTCATTGTGATCATCGCTGTGCCGATCTGCTCTATCAAATGGCAATCCGACCTCTACAAGGATAACGGCCTCAGCTCCATAAGCAAGGCTGAATGGGGTTTCCCCTGTGGCTGAGCTGGGTGTAGTGCGACAAAACCACAGGACTTTATTGAACTCGTCAACCCAATTAGAATGTGCAGCCAAAACACGCGTCTTGAGGCCTCGCAAAACGATCTTGTTGGCGGACTCGGCTTGTCCATTAGATTGTGGAGTATACACAGATGTTAAGGCGAGCTCAATGCCATAGTCGTTGCAGAACGACCTCAGTGCCGCGACTCGGACCTGCGGACCATTGTCAGCAATGATCCGCTTAGGAATACCGAACCTGTGTACAGATGACCGAGCTGAGCCACAAATTATATTTGTATATAATGTATCGATGGCTTAAGTCACCTAAGAATACCTGTATAATATCGAATTGAACAGGAATTCTTCTATTTTCTTTTTTATTGTCGTGGACAATGGTTTAGCTTCTATCCATTTGGTGAAGTAATCTACCGCAACAATGAGGTAAGTGCAACCTCCTTTGCCTTTGATAAAAGGGCCGAGCAAATCGACTCCCCACTGTGCAAAAGGCCAAGGAGATGAGAGTGATGAGAGCATTTCCCCTATTCCGAGGGAGATGTTTATGTTTAGTTTAAAGACAAACATGAAGTTTGCACGAACTTTAAAACGAGCTCAGTTACCTGGCATGTGACTATCATCAACGTTAAATTGGCAGATCGGGCACTTTTTGACATAGCTCTATGCGTTCTCGACCATAGTAGGCCAGTAATAACCATGCCTCAGGAGTTTCCGAGCTAACGTTCTACCACCTATGTGCGTGCCACATACAGCTTCATGAACTTCCCTCACAGCGTATTAAGCTTCATAAGGAGTAAGGCAGCGCAATAGGGGCATTGAGGTTACTCATTTGTAGAGCTGATTATCTAATAAAGTGCAATGTGCCGCCCTGCGTTTAATCAACTTTGCAGCGGACGGATCTTCAAGTAGCTCGCCACTTTGCAGATAATTTATGAACGGGGTAGTCCAGCTCGGTGAAGAGGGATTTGTGCTTAGCAACTGACACTTGATTGTGAAATCGGTGTAGCTTGGGGCGTCCAGCACCTCGACAATTGTTGATCTTTGAGGGTTAAGGTCAGTGTTTTGAAACCCAGACCGGACCAGCCGGTCCGACCACCGCCCAGAGCATGAAACGGGCTGGGTTGATACCCAGGCTCGTTTGGACGGTTGGCCCATCCAAACCCGGAGAACTCGTTCCGCCCATCCCGCCCGGACGGCCCGACAAACCCGTCGGGCAAATTGTTCCAGGCTGGATGGCACCACTGACGCACATTCTGCAAGTTTTTTTTTTTTTCCACAATCGGGGTTTCTACTTTCTAATTTCATTCCATTCTCAACTCTTCCAACTCCCAATCTCAACTCTTACCAGTTACCACAACTAAACAAAATAAAAAAACCCACATCATCCATCGTCCATCGGTAGATTGGGCAGCAGATCTTCATCATCCATCGTTCTCCTTCTCGGCTTTTCCACTCTCCAGTCTCCATTCTTCAGTCTCCGTCCTTTTTTCGGCGAAGAAGAAACCACAAGGCAGTGGATCGGGCAGCAGATCGGCGTTCATCGTCTCTCCAACAGATCAGTAGTCAGTAGGCAGCAGCAGCAAGCAGCAAATCGGCGTTCACCCACCAACCTTGACCCACCACCAGAGGCCTTCACCGTCGTGTCCAACCGAGGGTGCTACCGGTGAGTTGGACGAAATCTGTTTCTCCACTGAAAAGTCTGAAATATAAGTCGATTTTTTTTTTCAACTTCTGCTTCAGTGAATGTAGACTTGTAAAGTGCGAAACAGTGGCTATTAATTATAATTAATTAATTATTTCATGAAAACAGTGGCATTTTGATTGACCTGCTGGCCGATCGGTTGAACCAGTCGGACCAGCCAAACCGAGAACCAATGAGTAAATCGGTTCAATCACCGGTCCGATTTTAAAAACCATGGTTAAGGTCCTGCGAGGAGGCCAGCTTTGACAGCTCGCCTGCTCGGTGGTTATCTGCTCTTGGTATTTTGTCGATTTGGAAGGAAACAAATCCTGACTTCAACCTGTTGACCACAGAAGCATAACGACCAAGCTGGGGATTCCTGATTTCAGAACTGCCATTCACTTGGCCCACAACGAGCTGAGAGTCACTAAAAACCTAAATGCTTTGTACCTTCAGCTCGGACGCCAGCTTCAATCCGTAAATGAGGGCTTCATATTCTACAGCATTATTAGTTGCCTAAAACTTAAACCTCAGTGCATGCTCAGATTTAAAGCCATCTGGGCCCACTAACACAGCCCCAGCACCTAATCCTTCAATGTTAGCAGCTCCATCAACATACAAAACCCAGACTGGGTGCTCGGGTGCCTTTTCTTCCTCAGTCACCGAGATGCACTCCACCAGAAAGTCTGCAATGGCTTGGCCTTTTATGGTTGTGCGCGGCTGAAATTTGAGGTCGTATTCACTCAACTCGACACTCCACTCGATAAGTCGACCAGAGAGTTCGGGTTTCTGTAGTATTTTTCTCAATGGCAAATCAGTATAGACAACAATTTGATGTGACTAGAAATAAGCTCTCAACTTACAAGCTGTGTAAACCAGGGCAAAAGCAGTCTTTTCTGCTAGTGGGTAGTTCTGTTCGGCGCCTTGTAAAACCTTGCTCACATAGCAGATAGGCTTCTGATTCTTATTCTCTTCCCTGAGCAAAACTGAGCTCACTGCCTCTTCTGTAACCCCAGGTTCAGGTATAAACTCTCCCCTTCCACAGGCTTGGACAGCAGGGGTGTTGATGCCAGATATTGTTTGAGCTCGTAAAACGCCCGCTGACACTCATTAGTCCATTGAAAGTTCTTGGGCTCTCGCAGGGCTTTGAAGAACGGGAGGCATCTTTCCACCGACCTGGCTATGAACCTGTGCAACGCGGCTACACGACTTGTCAAGCGCTGCACATCCTTTACAGTCTTGGGAGGCTCCATCTGCTGAACGACAAGAACCTTCTCTGGGTTCACTTCAATTCCTTTCTTGGATACCACGTACCTTAGGAATTTTCCTAATTCTACAACGAACGTGCACTTCAAGGGATTCAGCTTCATCTGGGCTCGGCGCAAGTTTTGAAACATCTCACTCAGGTCGTTTATGTGATCTTCAGCTCGTACATTGGTGACTATCATGTCATCTACATATACTTCTATGTTCTTGCCGATCTGGAGCTTAAAGATGATTTGCACCAGCTTCTGATATGTAGCGCCAGCATTTTTTAAGCCAAATGGCATCATGACATAGCAGTAGATTGCGTCACCAACATAAAAAGCTGTTTTCTCCTGGTCATCCAACAGCAACTGAACCTAGTGGTAGCCTAAGCTAGCATCAAGGCAACTCATCCGCTCATGTCCAGCTGCGCGCTCTACCAGCTTCTCGACATTTGACAAGGGATGAGGGTCTTTCGAACACGCCTCATTTAAGTTGGTGAAATCAATACACATTTTCCACTTGCCGTTTGGTTTTTTGACGAGTACATGGTTGGACACCCACTTAGAATATTCAACCCTCCTGATAAAGCCTGCCTATAGTAGCTTTTGTATCTCTTCATCTATAGCGACCTGCATTTCAGGGCTAAAAAGGCGACGTTTCTGCACCACCGGCCTTTTGGTGGGGTCCGTGCTGAGTTTATGGACTGTCAATTCTGCCGGAATGCCAGGCATTTCATTCGTAGTCCACACAAACACGTCTTAATTAACCCTTAAAAACTCTAGAAGCTCTGCTCATTCTTCTTCTGTGAGTTTGGTGTCGATCTTGACTGTTCTTTCTGGCACATCAGGGTTTAAGGGGACTGTTTCTATTGGCTCTACTTTCTGTTCGACACCCTCAGGTCGATGCTCAATGTCCGATATGCTCATTGTCTGTTGACCGGGCTAAGTCGACCTATTACCTCCAAAAGGGCCTCTCGGGGCTACAGCGAGCTCAACCTTCTTAAATGTATCTTGATAACAGGTTCTGGCCATTTTCTAATTCCCCTTTAGCACTCCTACCCCCTGAGGAGTTGGGAATTTCATATAGAGATGGGGTTGTGAAATAACAGCCTTCAGCTCGCACAAGGTAGCTCTTCCTAATATAGCGTTAAAAGCCGATTCCATCTTGACAACTAGAAAGTCAACAGAAGCCATCCTAAAGCGTGGTTCTGAGCCCACATATATGGGAAGGGTAATAACTCCCTCAACCGGGACGAGCTGGTTGTCAAAACCATATACGGGCCCTTCATACTTCTGCAGCAAGCTCGGATTCAGTTGCATCTTTTGAAAACAGCTCCAGTATAAGATATTTAGCGAGCTACCAGTATCGATAAACACCTTGTTGATATTGTGATTACCTATATGAACTGTTGCAACGAAAAGATCTGCATGGGGCATCATAATGTCAGGCTCTCCTTCTGCTCGCTTGTAATCTACCGGCCTGAATGTAATAGGCGCATTCTCCCACTCTACCTCCTCGAATGGCCGCTTCAAAGGTCTGTTCTTGTTGACGGTCATCACTTGTCGGGCATATGCTTTACGGCCTCAAGCACTTTGGCCTCTAGAGTGTATACCACCCGAGATCATGTTTATTGTGCCCGAGGTCGGGGGTATTCCAACATAGCCTACCCCCTTCTTGTCTTTTTGGCTCTGAGTGGCAGTTCTCTATCCTTGGCCTCGCCTATTGAACTGACGGCCCCTATACGCTCTGCCTTGCTCAGAAGGATATTGATCATCCTAATATACATCTTGTGTGTTGCCGTGCTGGTACCTCTGCCCTTGAGGTCGGTCATACCCTTGTACAAAGTGATTTTGAGTTGGTTGCTTGGTATGGAGCTTCTGAACATATCCTTCTAGTTTTCCATTGCGAGCTAGGAACTCCAGCTCGTCCTTTAAGTGTTGACAATCTTTTGTATTGTAACCGTATACACGATGGTAGTCACAATGCTTGCTCTTGTCTGCTCTTGGAGAATCATACAACCGGGGTGGGGGTCTTCTAATCCAATGCTGGATTTGTGCCAGAATTTGAGACCTTGGCAAGGTCAGAGGGATGTAGTTAGCATATTTCGGGAATTCAACTGGCTTCCCCCATTGCTCACTGACTTTCTGCTTTTTCTTTTCCTCTCTGCTCGGTGGTTGTTCATTGCTTTTGCTCTGTTTGTCATCAGCTCGTCGCTTGGACGACTGGAAGTCTTCTGACAGTATAAAGCTAACCGACCTGTCATTAACTTCATTCCACGTCTTCGGTGGGTTTTCCAACAGGTCGTTAGGAACCGTCCACGTTTCAGACCATGTAGCAAGGCAGACAAGCAAATGGTATTGGGGATGTTATCAATGTCTAAGGTGGCTTTGTTGAATCGTTGCATGTAATCCCTCAGAGATTCCCCTTCCTTCTAATGAACTTGCATCAGCTTGGTTGCTGTGCGTTTGATCTCCCTTTGACTCGCAAATTTGTTAGAGAATAGCTTGACGAGCTGGGAGTATGAGTCTATAGAATGTCTAGGGAGTTTGTGATACCATCTTCTGGCTATTGACTTCAGTGTCGCTGGAAACACTTCACACATCATGGCGTCATTAGCATTTTGGATTCTCATGATGGCCTGATATGTATGTAGGTGCTCATCTGGGTCACCTGATCCATCATGTCTCTAGGTGGAGAATTTTAAATCCCTCTTGGTATGGTTCTGCTGTGATGGATAGGTTTAGTGGGGCACTATCCAAATCAATGGTCTATTGATGTGACCTAGGGCTTTTCAGCTCGTCAATGGATTTCTGTACGTCCCGAAACTGCCTTTCCAGGTCTGCATTCTTTCTCATCAGTTCTTCACCATGTTTGGACGAGCTAGGCTCGCTACCATGTTTGGACGAGCTAGGCTCGCTATTCAACTTCCCACTTCCCTTTGGTTTGGTTGGAATTACCACATTACTCAAGGCCGGGGAGTTATGAGTTGCAACCATTGCAGTTGGCTGTGCATCCCTGTTCAGCAAAGGAATCAGGGGGTCATCTAGGATTAAGCGGGCAAGGATTTTGCCCATTTCCATCTCGAGAACTCTGGTTCTCTCTTCAAGCTCAGTTGTACGAGCAGGCTTCGTTGACCTTTCAAGTCGTTCTTGTGGTAGATTGCTTTGCCTGGGTTGTCTTTGCCTTGTTCATGTTGGAATTTGGAAATGTTCGGGCTGAGTTGCATACCCAATTGGTGTTCTTTCATCATCATCTGTTCCACTTAATTGATCCTGTTCTGCTCCCCTAACGAAAAGGTTTCTCGGCATTGGTCTAAAGTCATTAAGGCCGAGCTCAGATAGCTGAGTGTCTTTCTGTTCATCCATTTCATTTCTTGGAGGGCGATTTCCAGTAAAGGTACGGACCATTTTGTCTTTCTGCCTGTTAAACTACACAACTTCTTATTCGAGTTCTCATAGACGGTGCCAAATATTTGAGCAGCTTCGTAGTTGTCACGCCCCATAACCCAAATCCGAGACGTGGCAGACATCGTGCACTCGTGAGAAGATCTCACAAATGCACAAGGCTCAGAACTTATCCAATTCACATCTGACAATCTAATAACTTAAATCAAATATTTCACATTAATTTTGTGTCCAACACTTAAGCTCTGATCTCAAGGTAAAATCTATCATACAAAAGCATGATTTATTCCTAAATTCTATATCAATCTCGCAGTGGCTAGCCTTCTAACTCGTCACTTCCTGTAGTTTCCTCGTCCTCGGTTTCACTTCCTGAAATGGTAAACAAGGAAAAACTATGAGATAAACTCAGTAAGTAAAATATGAAGTGCCCCTTATTAAACTTATAGCATGCTAACAAGTGTAATCACAAAAAACGGATACAATATGGGAACAAAATAGATGTCTCCTCTATAGGTCACGGCCAATGTTATAAACCTCCCACTGGCAGGCTATAGAATTTATTAGTGTAAAATCCCACTAGCAGGATTACAGAAATACTAGTGTTTAACAACTCCCATTGGCAGGAGGAACCGGCTCTACAGAAATACATGTCGACATGTGCTAGCGTTTAACCCCCACTAGCAGGGTTATCAATAACATAACCATATCCGAGACAAAACAGGTAGAGGTTAACAGAAAAATCATAATTCACCAATTACTTTCAAATCATCCGGACAATCAAACAAATCTCAAGTAGGCATGCTCAATTTAATGAAAAGCATAAAAATTTCACTTCAAATCAGTCATACTTACTTTTGTATAAAACGGATTTAGTCCCGCCACCACTTCAAAAACAAATCAAAACATGCTTTTAAAAACTGTACGGACATTACCATAAATTTACTCACCTCACTCGCATAACATAGAAAATTCACTCCATAACCGAGATTCGATCTCAGTGCTAAATTGACAGATCGATCGAAAACCTAATCAAAATATTTCAAGAATTAATTCTATACAATCACAAATTCAGAGTAAAGCCATCATTAACACTATCCCTAATCATGGTGCTATTCCTATCAATCTCCACATTTGTTCTTATATCACAAACTAATCATTTAAGTCTCCGTTAATTGTTGACCCTCGATGTGTGAACAGTAATCTGTGAACAGTAACTCCAACTTCCAAAAATTGGCCAAAACACTAGCTAATTCACGGAATTTTCTCCAAAAATCACACAGCAGTCAATTACTAATTTTCTACATGAATTAAGCAACAAAACCCACTTAAAATGCTCTTAATTGCTACCGGAATTCCCCCATTTTTCCAGCACAATTCGGACACACACAAGGCAACAAATAACTGATAAAATTTCAAGCTTGGAGCTGTCAACATACCAAAATTTCCAGCTGCAAACCGGACCTAGCAGGGGGGGAGAAGCCGACGGCAGTGCAAGGGAATTTAGGGGGATCTACCCAAAATTCAAGAAACCAAGAGCAATTAAGGTAAACCCAAGCTAATTCAAGAAGAACAGAGGGATTGGTAGCTGTTTCTTACCCAAAAATGCCCAGAATTTGCACCCACAAACCGGCAAGAGCAGCAACCGGTCGGACAAAGCAAAGCAGATCCGGATTCTTCTCTGCAGGGGGGAGAAATTCTGGGTTCTAGATGTGTTTTAGAGCAAGAAAAGAAGGAGAAATCCAAGCTTTCTCACCGGTTTTCTCAAGGGAGGTGCCGGGTTCCCCTTTTTTTTTTTTGTTCGGGCTGCAGCAGGGTCGGGAAGAGCAGAACCACGGGTGAGGAAGAAAAGAAAAAAGAGAAAAAGAAAAAGAAAAGAAATAAGCCATCCTTATCCAATTATTTTCCCTCTTTAAGTCCCTCAACCTTGAAATTTTGGCTATTAAGGCCCAAAACAATATTTTTTCACAATTTAGTCCCTAACTCACTTATTTATCCTAGAAAATTTTGGGGTATCACAGTAGTCCAACATTATTGAAGTCCTTAGTTGCTTCTACACCTGAAAATCCCAAGGATGTTTCCTCGGGGAAAACACTCTGACGCTCAAGTCAGCAATACTCAATGCTCTAGAGAGAGATGCTCTCAAAAAGTAATTGCGGAGAGAGAAGTGTAGAGAGTAATTACCTTCATCGGAGGTAATTGGGGGGTATTTACAACCCCAAATGCTGACATGCATCTATACATGTAAGTATCTCATTGGCCCACGTGGCGCTGTTCACGTGGGTATGTTTGTACTGGTGCTCCCTCACTTTGAGCTAACGAATGTCAGCTTAGGCCCATTATGTATGGCCTAAATTGGGTGTTAGGCCTATTCCAACAGCAGCTTTGTTAAAGGCAGACACTGAGTAATGTATATGACGGAATCATTGAGACTTTGTCAAGGAAATGAGTGAGAACAAAAGTTATTTTGTCCACATTTCTTTCTTAAGCCATTTTAATAGTAATTTTCTCAAAAGGAAATTGGCAGTTGTTGGGTACTAATTTTGCGCAACACTTCCCCGAGTCCCAGACATTTTGCTAACAATTTAAATACCTATGATAAAATCTAACTGTAGAGTTTAGTGTTTATCATGATGTTAATATATTATTAATAATGAAAGCCTCAAAATATTCATAGTATTATATAAGAAAAAGTATTTATCAATTGTACTATAAAAAAATTAGATAAAAATATTTTTAAATTATATTATTTTAAATAATTTTTAGTAAAAAATATTATAATATCTTAATTTTTATTATTTATTATATTATATA